TCTTTCAACAAAGTTCTGGAGGTCTTAGCAACGGCAATAAGACAACATGAAGAAATACAACGCACCAAGATTGGCAAGGAAGAAGTCAAACTGTCCCAGTTTGCAGATGCCATGATATTGTACATAAAAAACCCTTAAGAACCCACTCCAAAACTACTAAAACTAATATCTGAATTTAGCAAAGTTGCAGGATACAAAATGAATACACAGAAATCTGTTGCATTCCTACACACTAATGATGAACTAGCAGAAAGAGAAATCAGAAAACAATTCTATCCATAACTGCATCAAAAAGAATAAAATACCTAGGAATAAACCAAACGATGGAAGTGAAAGACATATACCGTGAAAACTACAAGACCCTCTTAAGAGAAATTAAAGAGGACACTAATAAATGGAAATTCATCCCGTGCTCTTGGGTAGGAAGAATTAATACTGTCAAAATAGCCATCCTGCCTAAATCAATCTACAGATTAAATGCAATCCCTATCAAAATACCTATAGCATTCTTCAATGAACTAGAGCAAATAGTTCTAAAATTCATATGGAACCACAAAAGATCCCAAATAGCCAAAGCAATCCTGAGAAGGAAGAATAAAGCTGAGGGGATCATGCTCCCCAACTTCAAGCTCTACTACAAAGCCACAGTAATCAAGACAATTTGGTACTGGCACAAGAACAGACCCATAGACCAACGCAACAGACCAGAGAGCACAGATATAAACCCAAGCATATACGGTCAATTAATATATGATAAAGGAGCCATGGATATACAATGGGTAAATGACAGCCTCTTCAACAGCTGGTGCTGGCAAAACTGGACAGTTACATGTAAGAGAATGAAACTAGATCACTGTTTAACCCCATACACCAAAGTAAACTCAAAATGGATCAAAGACCTGAATGTAAGTCATGAAACCATAAAACTCTTAGGAACAAACATAGGCAAAAATCTCTTGGACATAAACATGAACAACTGCTTCATAATCTTCCCGGGCAAGGGAAACAAAAGCAAAGATGAACAAGTGGGACTATATCAAACTAAAAAGTTTCTGTACAGCAAAGGACACCATCAATAGAACAAAAAGGCATCCTACAGTATGGGAGAATATATTTATAAATGACATATCCCAAAAAGGGTTGACATCCAATATATATAAAGAGCTCAAGCACCTCAACAAAGAAAAAGCAAATAAGCCAATTAAAAAATGGGGAGAGGAGCTGAACAGACACTTCTCCAAGGAAGAAATTCAGATGGCCAACAGGCACATGAAAAGATGCTCCACATCGTTAATCATCAGAGAAATGCAAATTAAAACCACAACAAGATATCACCTCACACCAATTACGATGGCTACCGTCCAAAAGACAAACAACAACAAATGTTGGCAACGATGTGGAGAAAGGGGAACCATCCTACACTGCTAGTGGGAATGTAAGCTAGTTTAACCATTGTGGAAAGCAGCATGGAGGATCCACAAAAAACTCAAAATAGAAATGCCATGTGACCCAGGAACTCCACTCACAGGAATTTACCCTAAGAATGCAGGAGCCCAGGTTGAAAAAGACAGATGCACCCCTATGTTTATTGCAGCACTATTTACAATAGCCAAGATATGGAAGCAACCTAAGTGTCCATCAGTAGATGAATGGATAAAGATGTGGTACATATACACAATGGAACATTATTCAGCCATAAGAAGAAAACAAATCCTACCATTTTCAACAACATGTGGAGCTGGAGGGTATTATGCTCAGTGAAATGTGCCAGGTGGAGAAAGACAAGTATTAAATGATTTCGCTCATCTGTGGAGTACAAGAACAAAGAAAAACCGAAGGAACAAAACAACAGCAGATTGCAAGAATGGACTAACAGTTACCAAAGGGAAAGGGACTGGGGAAGATGGGTGGGAAGGGAGGGATAAGGGGGAAAAAGAGGCATTACAATTAGCACACATAATGTATTGGGGGGGACATGGGGAAGGCAGTACAACACAGAGCAGACAAGTAGTGATTCTATAGCATCTTACTAGGCTGATGGACAGTGACTGTAACGGGGTACGTGGTGGGGACTTGATAATGGGGGGAGTCTAGTAACCATAATGTTGCTCATGTAATTGTACATTAATGATACCAAAATCAGAAAAAAAATTCAACTATACCATGAACCCAGGACTCTTAACAAAAGATACACAGAAAATTATATAACTGATACCAATTTTTATGTAAAATAAACAGAGAGTGAGGCCACATCCCTACCAGGAAAGGTACAAACCCACTGACACTGCAGGACAGGCCCATCACCCACGGCAATTCCAGCCATTGTCTATGTCTGCAGCCATGAGCTATGAACAGGTTTTACACATTTAAAGGGTTGGGAAAAAATCAGCAGAAGACTAACATGCCAAGACCCCAGCCTCAGGGAGCTTTAGTGGCTGTGCCCCCACAGGGCCTGTGGCTGCCTCCTTGCTAGGCCGTGTGCTGGCAGAGACCCTGTGGCCTGCAAAGCTGACATGTTTAGCCTGGCCCTTTGCTTTTTCTGTCAAACCCCACTCTGGGTAAGTAAAGGCATTTCCATTTACATCCCCAAAATTTTTTGGGTAGAACCTAACAAACTGATTCAAAATCTTACATAAGACACAGGGAGCCAAAAAGAGCCACTTGACCCTGGAAAGCCCGGCCTAAGCTGCACCGTGAGGCTCAGTAAGGGAGGCAGAGGGCCATTGACCAGGACCCCCGGCAGCTCAGGATACGAGCCAGCAAGCACCACACCAGCAGCAAGGTGGCAGCGACACCTGGGGAGGTGGCTAAGGGCCGCCAATCAGCCATGGCACCGGGAGAGCAGACAACCCATGGAAGAGAAGGCACAGCCCCAAATGCAAAGGCTGATGTGGGCCTCCGAGGACAATGCGCTTAGGACGCCTCATAAGACACAAAGGCCTGCATGTGCTGGGTGGCTAGCAGCAGTGCTGCTGGAGCAAGAATGGCCCCACCAAAGGGCACTACCCACCAGGCACAGGCATCAAGCAAATCAAAATGGAAGTGACAGCTCCACTGAAACCAGGAAACACCTTCCTGGGCACGTCCCTCAGGGGAGATGCAAATGCCAGCAAACACGAAGAGGCTGACACCACTAATGGGAGGAACATACAACCAAGCCCTCACAAGCAGCCGAGTGAACACCAGCGGCACCAAGCACCAGCAAAGTCCTTCATGGGGACCCCGTGTGCTGCTGCAGGCCCACAGCAGACACCTTCCAGCAACCTAAGGGGCACAGGTGTCCAAGGAACAGAGCCCACAAGTGCTCCACCATGCATGGGCTACCCAAGATGGACAAACCTTCAAACCAGACATCACAGCCTGCAGTGTCAATGGACAGCACACAGCCATGCACACAGCACAAGGAAATGGGACCCCGTGTCCCAATGGCCTCCACCACCCTGTGGCCTGCCTGCCCTGCTCCGGGGAGCACGGAAGGGAACCCCAGTGCTGGGCTGGCTGCTGTGGTCCCTAGCTACTCATGGGCACTTAGCAGACAAGGTACATCAGAGACAGACCAAGCTCACAGATACTCTCAGCCTTCTAGTTTCTCACGTTCTTTAGTGACAATACCACACACACATAAGCACGCATGTGCCACGTGAACTAGAGTCCTGGTGCCATGAGAAAGTCCAGCCCACCAGTCAACCGAGCTGGCCCATGAGGGGACAGAAAAGGGCTTCTCGTGCACAGGACCACTCCTGCCCCGGGAGCCTCCCGATACGCCCTCACAGCTCTGGAGGCACACAGTCCAGGGCAGTGGTTTCTGCAACGGGAGCACCTGCCAACCAGTCACCTTAAAGTGGGCCTTTTGGATCAGGGGACAAAAGAAAAAGGTCAGGCTGGTCCAAGGTTCAAATCTAAATGAAGACGTGGCCCCCACAGACAGGGTGTCCCCCCACCAGGGAGCAGGCTGAGCCTGGGAAGGAAGAGCCACAGCTGCCCATCAACGGAAGCTGCTGTCCCACACCAGAAGGGTTAGGAGACATTACGCTGAAGGAAACCAGGGGGTTTTAAATGCTGCTGAGGTAACAATGGCACTTACATTAGGAAAGAATACCCTTATTTTCCCAGAGTTGTGCACTGAAGTATCTGGGTGTGAAATGGCATGACATCTGGGATCTTTTAAATTCCTCAGCTAAACCACGACCACCAGCAAGGAGAACCGGGGGGAGGGAGCTGCTACCTGGAGACACTGCCCAGGGTGGGACACAAGCTTCATCGATGCTGGATAATTTCCACAAAGTGTCAGGTTTTGCAAAGGTACAAGAAAGAGAATGAAAACTAAGCAATATGCAAGCAGATACTGGCTACACTGGCAACTTTAAAAAGCCTCTCGTGAGAATATATAAGGAGCACCAATTAATCAGAAACAATCCAACACAGAAAAGCCAAAACAAAATGCAAGTTGTCTGAAGAACAAGGTCTAATGGCCACAAACATAACAAAAACATTCAACTGCATTAGTGACCAGGAAAAGGCAAAGCCACTAAGTGCCACTCCCCCGCAGCAGGCTGACAAGGTGAAAAGGGTGGCTTGGAGGACAACAGCGGGTAGGGCAATGCGGTCCTCCTGCAGTGCAGCACTGCAGACCCCAGGGGAGGTGGCGGGGAGATCCCAGTGGCTGGGAGCCCAGAACCTGGACGCACCTGGCAGGGCATCTGCCCAAGGACAGGTCACCAACCCACGGAAGCAAGAGCAACCCAGGGAACAGTGGCTTTCCTCCTAGTCATCTGCAGCCACTAAAGGGCTGATGGGTGGGGACAGGTAGGCAGGAGTGGGAGCCCGAGCCCAGGAAGGTGGCAGGACCCAGGAAGCTCCACACCGCAGGAGGTCAGCCAGGTGTGAGGGCCTCCCAGGGCCAGGACAGGGGAGGGGCACCCACGTGCATCAGCCAAGCCTAATGCTGCAGAGGGGGGGAGGTTCCAGGGCTCTGATGCCAGGTGCCCCGGCCCTGGTACCTTGAGGTCCCGGTGGATGATGGGCGGCCTCTGTTTGTGCATATGCTGCACGGCCCGGCATGTCTGATAGAATATCTTCAGGACGGCATCACACGGGAGCGGGCCTCTCGGTTCCACTTTCTTTAAGAACTCCACCAGCTGCCCTAAAAGAGAATGAGTCCCATCACCAAGGAGCTGGCACGCCACCCGGCCAGATGGGGCAAGTGCTGACTGGGAGGCCACCCCACGGCCCCTTGAGCGAGGCAGCAACGGCACGTCCGGTGAAGCCAGGCCAAGCGCCCCCAGCTCAGTGCTGCACACGGGAGCCCCACACGGGAACACCGATGGCAGGCGGCACTTGTGCACGAGGCTGCTGAGAGTCCATCGCAGGCCTGCTCCCCGGCGAGGCCAGGCGTGAATGGCCACAGACACACGTGTCTCTCCTGTGGCCTCCACAGCTAACATGCAGTCCCCTGCGTGTTGGCATAAAGTCTCAGCAAACATGCACCACATGCTATGCTGGCTGCCCGCAGAACTGAGCATGTGCTAAGCATAGCCGGGGACTGCGAGGCTGCCCCCACCCCAGCCCAGGGGCCCCGTGACGGGCAGGCCCTGCCCACTGAAGCTGGGCTGGGGGCTCCCTCCATGACCACATGCTGTCTCTCTGATGGAACACCACTCCCTAGCCTCTTGCTGGCATCTGCAGGCTGCCCCAGGACCCTCAGTCTATTCTCAGAGAGGACGTCCATTCCTACCCATGGCACCGTGCAGATCTTCTGCTGAGAGCCTACCCTCCGCCTGGCCCAGCCCAACAGCCTCAGCCCCTCCAGGCCCACAAAATGCAAACCAAGGTGGCTACCACTCCCACAGGCCCCACACTGGCACCCAGCGCTCTCTGCAACTTGTGCCATGACCCTGCACTCCGCCTCCAGCCAGTGCCTCCCCTCACCCCTGCCTCTGAACCTCTGCACATGCCCCTCCCTCAGCTGGGACGGCCTTCTTCCCTTGCCTCCTTCAGCTCTGGGCTCCTCACTGTCCGGGGAGCCATTCCACCTTGGCCCATCTGCATGTGCAGCCTTCCCTGGCCTCCTGTTCCCCTACATGTGGAACCACCCCACCCCAACCTGTGGACTTAGGTGGGTCTATGTGCTCTGTCTTGGTGGGCCACAGTTGCTATTTTTAAATGTGAAGACTTCAACTTTCCTAGAGCGGGGGGAAGGCCTGGGGTGACAATGTAGGTGCCTCACACATCCGCTGTGTCTGGATTCCCCACAGAACCATGTCACCTTTTCAACTTTAAAAACAAAGGGCATCTCAAATAAAAAAACAAAGGGCATCTATAGCTCAGGACCTGCATATGCTTGCCCAGCAACCCACCTGCCATGGAGTCTGCACTCTGGCGATCCGGCCATGGTTCCCACACAGGCCTACGCCTCGCCCCGAGGCCTCCTCTGCTGTGGCTCCCCCAGGATCTGCACACCCTCCAGGCTCATGCACCAGCCCGCCTGATTCTCACTCCACTGGACAACCTCAGAGATCCCCTCCGGGCCACGCCTGCCCGAGGAACAGGGGTCCTCTGGAGGGGTGGGGCACATGCAGGAACAGACTGCCTGGCCACCTGCAATGCAGGTGGGGCACAAACCCCCACAGCATTGCTGAGGGGCCCAGGGCAGGTGGCAAACTGACTGCCAGGCTGGCTGGGGAAACAGGGAGGAGCACACACAGGGTGGGGCCTCTGGCACTGAGAACTCAGGAGTCTTGCTGAGAATAATTATTCCACAGGTGGCAGGGTGGCTGGGAGGGAACTGTGGAGGGTCAGGCCCACGGGTACCAGGAAGGCAGTTTCTGTAGGCTCCCATGGGTACGCATCTGGAGGGGCCACTGCAAAGGCCCTACCTGAGGGGAACCAGCACCCCGTCCCTCCTCCTCCCAGAAGGTCCTGCTTCCTACCCCTCCCTGTGCCAGGAGGTCCTGGGTCCGGTGTGAGGGGTGGGGCCGCAGAGGGGCACACAGCCCCTGACCTGACAAGTCCTTAGTAATCCAGCCACAGGAATGCCAGGCCCGCATGCTGGACGCGGGGGCTCAAGGTCAAGAAAGGGAGAGCTGGTGGGGGACCAGCCTGTCCTCGCAGGGGACCTCTGTCTCCTGCGAGGTCCCCTGCTACAATGCCCCCATTTCTGCTCCTCTTTGCAGCCTGCTTCTTCTTGGGACACCTGCCTCCATTGCCCCCAACCTCTCCTTCCATCATCACTCTGCTTGCGGGCACAGCTCTTGGCCTGGCTGCCTGCACTGTGTCCTCTCAGGGGCTCACCTGCTTCAGTCCCCTCTGCTCTGCCTCCCTGGCCCGTGGTGGCCACAGCGTGGGTCCCCTCCTCCTACACACACTGCCTGAAGCCTGGCAGGCACACATGCTCACACTCCACTCACATGTCTGGAGACTCCCGCACCACCTCCAGTCCCTTCCAGCCAGGCCTCTTGTGCTCACTGGGCCCTGTGGGTCCTACCCAAACCCTGTTCTCGGGGCCCTCTGGCATTCCCCATGGAGACCAGGAGGGTGGACACCCCCAACTGTGTGCCGTTTCACCCACAGGCAGTGGCTCAGAGGCCAAGCCCCCATCTACCTCGGGCACACAGAACAGTGCCTTAGGAGCCAGGCACCAGCATCCAGCTCCACAGCTCCCTTGGCACCACCCTCGGACCCTCATGTGGATTCACTGTGCCCCTAGAACTCTCCAGAAGCATCCAGCTCCCTCTGGTTCCTGCCAACAGACTCAGGAGTCTCCCTTCCAAGAACACCACATCTTGGACTAGGCACGGCCCTTGGGGCTGAGGCAGCGGCTCAATCAAAGCCCCTCTTGCCAGCCCTTCCTGACTGCCAGCCTCCTCTTTCCATTATGACCAACACATCCCCTGAGCATATCTCATGGCGGTTCAAATGTGGGAGAGCGTGGTGCAGACGCAGGGGAGCTTTACCTCTGCAGAGCTCTGTGAGCAGCAAGAACTCAGCCTGCCCCGTGTCCGACTCCTCTTTCCCTATTGACGCTGCGGAGCAGAACTGGACAATGTTGGGGTGGCCGGAAAGCTTTTTCTGCAGGGGTCTTGTTAAAGGAGAAAGTGTAAGTCTGCACATTTAAAAACAAATGCACATGAGAGACTAAAACACTAGCCATAACACTGGTTCAGTTACCTTACCATCTGAGTGCAGAATGGAAAGATGAGGGACAGAGCAGGTACAGTCAACTGGACAGGAGGGGAAGGCAGGGGAAAGGGAGACCACCACCATGCTGGTCACACACACCTGCCCACAGGCCAGGCAGGATAGCAGGCGGAGGGCATGGTGTGGTGCAGTGCAGCACGAGGGCCGTGAGGAGCAGCAGGCGACGTGGGCACCCCCGGCTTGGCAGTCGGAGGGCTCACAGTAAACAGAGCTTCGAGAGAAGAGAGAATAGATCTGACAACAGGCAGGACCCCAGCTTGGGGTGAGCATGCGCCAAGTGGAGAGCAGGCAAGGAAGCCCACAAATCCACCATCTGGGTGGAAACCCCATGGCCTGAGTGCTCTGGGCAGGGCAGAAGGGTCGGCGGGGTGGCTGATGGGAAGTGACACAGAGGCCTAGCAGAACCAGGCCTGGAGAGGGGCCCTGGCGATGGCCAGGGGCATGGTTCTTGGCCTGGCACTGGGAGGGCACGGCATCGGGTGGTTGTGGGGAAGACAGCAGGCAACTGGCCCACCCCCTGGGCACAGAGACCTCCAGGGAACAAACTACACCTCTACTCCTGAAGCTACTGAACTACCCTGGGAGTGAAGAACAAGGAGGAAAACTTCTTTTTATTAAAAACAGTCTACAAGGAGGTCCAGCGAAGGCGAAAGGTCAGTTTTAGCACACCAAGGAGAACCTGGGAGAGCAGCCTCCAGGCAGCTGCAGCCACAGCCCAGACGCAGGCCTCCCCGCAGCAACGCACTCTCAGGTCACGGAAAAGGATACCATGAAACAAATTTCCTGAATGATGGCTCTGTTCTTTTCTTCTTCATTGGACAACAATCTCTGTATTGGGAAGTAACAAAGAAAAAAGGTTAAAAGAGTGTTTGCTTTCTACTCTACATCCAAGAGCTCAATCCATTTAGCTGTATTTTAACACCTGACCTGTGGAAAAACCTGACAGAAGGCTAAAGACTGTTGAAAATGGTGCTTTATGACTGAATGACACAAAAACTAAAAATAAGAGCTTTTTCTCCAAATAGGCTAGAGAAAATAAGACAAGGAAAATGAGGGAAGACACTGGCAGAGACGTGGGTCTATATTCTGGACCCCCAAAGTCAAACTGGCGTGCTGCTCACCCAGAACAGGCCCACTTGCGGCCCACAGCCTGGCCTGGGCCTTCTGCCATGTCTGGGGACAAAACTGAAGTTTCCTCCCCACTGTCCCACCACAAATCATTTATACATGTGCTCCAGACGCACATTTGGCACAGGTGGCTTTTATATTCTTGGAATCTCTGGACCTCTTATTTTGGCAGTTTGGGCTCTGTGAAGTCACAGCTTGCCCCCAAGCAACCCACCAAGTCTTCACCCCAAAGCTGGAAACCATGGCTTTAAAACCCTCTAAAACTGCTGGAGGCTTCACCACCACAGGAGACAAATAGGACAAATGGACTGTAAAAAATAAACACAAGCTAAATAACAGACATAAATCTCTGGAACACCGCAACTTAGATTTTCTTTCAACCAAAAACCCACATAAAAATATGGTCTTTTAGAGGGCGGAGCCAGGATGGCGGTGTGAGTAGAGCAGTGGAAATCTCCTCCCAAAAACACATAGAGCTATGAAAATATAACAAAGAAAAATCTTCCTAAAATAGAGACCACAGGACACAGGACAACATCCAGACCACATCCACACCTGCAAGGACCCAGCGCCTTGCGAAGGGGAGTGCTTTTTGGAAGTCTTGAAGGGGCAGGACAGGTCACTTAGACCAGAGGAAGGGAATCTGGGGATCTCTGGGCACTCTAACTACCTGGGCAGCAGGGAGCACTGAGGCCCCTTACGGAGATAAATAGTCTCCTGGCTGCTCCCCCTCCAACGGGGCTCCACCATTTTGGAGGAACAGCCCCAGCCAGGCCAAGCCCACAGCAACAGCGGAGATAAACCCCAAAGCAACTGGGCAGGAAGCAGAAGCCCTGTCTGCGCACAGCTGCCCAGCACAAGCCACTAGAGGTCGCTATTCTCCCAGGAAAAGGCTACAAACCAACAAGAAGGGAAGCTCTTCCAGCGGTCACTTGTACCAGCTCTGCAAACTATCTCTATCACCATGAAAAGGCAAAACTACAGGCAGACAAAGATCACAGAGACAACACCTGAGAAGGAGACAGACCTAACTAGTCCTCCTGAAAAAGAATTCAAAATAAAAATCATGAACATGCTGACAGAGATGCAGAAAAAAATGCAAGAGCAATGGGATGAGATGCAGAGAAAAATGCAAGAGCAGTGGGATGAGATGCAGAGAAAAATGCAAGAGCAGTGGGATGAAGTCCGGAAGGAGATCACAGATGTCAGGAAAGAGATCACAGAAGTGAAACAATCCCTGGAAGGATTTATAAGCAGAATGGATAAGATGCAAGAGGCCATTGAAGGAATAGAAGCCAGAGAACAGGAACGTATAGAAGCTGACATAGAGAGAGATAAAAGGATCTCCAGGAATGAAACAACACTAAGAGAAATATGTGACCAATACAAAAGGAAAAACATTCGTATTATAGGGATACCAGAAGAGGAAGAAAGAGGAAAAGGGATAGAAAGTGTCTTTGAAGAAATAATTGCTGAAAACTTCCCCAAACTGGGGGAGGAAATAATCGAACAGACCATGGAATTATACAGAACCCCCAACAGAAAGGATCCAAGGAGGACAACACCAAGACACATAATAATTAAAATGGCAAGGATCAAGGACAAGGAAAGAGTTTTAAAGGCAGCTAGAGAGAAAAAGGTCACCTATAAAGGAAAACCAATCAGGCTAACATCAGACTTCTCAACAGAAACCCTACAGGCCAGAAGAGAATGGCATGATATACTTAATGCAATGAAACAGAAGGGCCTTGAACCAAGGATACTGTATCCAGCACGACTATCATTTAAATATGATGGTGGGATCAAACAATTCCCAGACAAGCAAAAGCTGAGGGAATTTGCTTCCCACAAACCACCTCTACAGGGCATCCTACAGGGACTGCTCTAGATGGGAGCACCCCTAAAAAGAGCACAGAACAAAACACACAACATATGAAGAATGGAGGAGGAGGAATAAGAAGGGAGAGAAGAAAAGACTCTCCAGACAGTGTATATAACAGCTCAATAAGCGAGCTAAGTTAGGCAGTAAGATACTAAAGAAGCTAACCTTGAACCTTTGGTAACCACGAATCTAAAGCCTGCAATGGCAATAAGTACATATCTTTCAATAGTCACCCTAAATGTAAATGGACTTAATGCACCAATCAAAAGACATAGAGTAATAGAATGGATAAAAAAGCAAGACCCATCTATATGCTGCTTACAAGAAACTCACCTTAAACCCAAAGATAAGCATAGACTAAAAGTCAAGGGATGGAAAAACATATTTCAGGCAAACAACAGTGAGAAGAAAGCAGGGGTTGCAGTACTAATATCAGACAAAATAGACTTCAAAACAAAGAAAGTAACAAGAGATAAAGAAGGCCACTACATAATGATAAAGGGCTCAGTCCAACAAGAGGATATAACCATTCTAAATATATATGCACCCAATACAGGAGCACCAGCATATGTGAAGCAAATACTAACAGAACTAAAGAGGGAAATAGACTGCAATGCATTCATTGTAGGAGACTTCAACACACCACTCACCCCAAAGGATAGATCCACCGGGCAGAAAATAAGTAAAGACACACAGGCACTGAACAACACACTAGAACAGATGGACCTAATAGACATCTATAGAACTTTACATCCAAAAGCAACAGGATATACATTCTTCTCAAGTGCACATGGAACATTCTCCAGAATAGACCACATACTAGCTCACAAAAAGAGCCTCAGTAAATTCCACAATATTGAAATTCTACCAACCAATTTTTCAGACCACAAAGGTATGAAAGTAGAAATAAATTCTACAAAGAAAACAAAAAGGCTCACAAACACATGGAGGCTTAACAACATGCTACTAAATAATCAATGGATCAATGAACAAATCAAAATAGAGATCAAGGAATATATAGAAACAAATGACAACAACAACACTAAGCCCCAACTTCTGTGGGATGCAGCGAAAGCAGTCTTAAGAGGAAAGTATATAGCAATCCAGGCACACTTGAAGAAGGAAGAACAATCCCAAATGAATAGTCTAACATCACAATTATTAAAACTGGAAAAAGAAGAACAAATGAGGCCTAAAGTCAGCAGAAGGAGGGACATAATAAAGATCAGAGAAGAAATAAACAAAATTGAGAAGAATAAAACAATAGCAAAAATCAACGAAACCAAGAGCTGGTTCTTTGAGAAAATAAACAAAATAGATAAGCCTCTAGCCCAACTTATTAAGAGAAAAAGAGAGTCAACACAAATCAACATAATCAGAAATGAGAATGGAAAAATCACGACAGACTCCACAGAAATACAAAGAATTATTAAAGACTACTATGAAAACCTATATGCCAACAAGCTGGAAAACCTAGAAGAAATGGACAACTTCCTAGAAAAATACAACCTCCCAAGACTGACCAAGGAAGAAACACAAAAGTTAAACAAACCAATTACAAGCAAAGAAATTGAAACAGTAATCAAAAAACTACCCAAGAACAAAACCCCGGGGCCGGACGGATTTACCTCGGAATTTTATCAGACACACAGAGAAGACATAATACCCATTCTCCTTAAAGTGTTCCACAAAATAGAAGAAGAGGGAATACTCCCAAACTCATTCTATGAAGCCAACATCACCCTAATACCAAAACCAGGCAAAGACCCCACCAAAAAAGAAAATTACAGACCAATATCCCTGATGAATGTAGATGCAAAAATACTCAATAAAATATTAGCAAACAGAATTCAACAGTATATCAAAAGGATCATACACCATGACCAAGTGGGGTTCATCCCAGGGATGCAAGGATGGTACAACATTCGAAAATCCATCAACATCATCCACCACATCAACAAAAAGAAAGACAAAAACCACATGATCATCTCCATAGATGCTGAAAAAGCATTTGACAAAATTCAACATCCATTCATGATAAAAACTCTCAGCAAAATGGGAATAGAGGGCAAGTACCTCAACATAATAAAGGCCATATATGATAAACCCACAGCCAGCATTATACTGAACAGCGAGAAGCTGAAAGCATTTCCACTGAGATCGGGAACCAGACAGGGATGCCCACTCTCCCCACTGTTATTTAACATAGTACTGGAGGTCCTAGCCACGGCAATCAGACAAAACAAAGAAATACAAGGAATCCAGATTGGTAAAGAAGAAGTTAAACTGTCACTATTTGCAGATGATATGATACTGTACATAAAAAACCCTAAAGACTCCACTCCAAAACTACTAGAACTGATATCGGAATACAGCAAAGTTGCAGGATACAAAATCAACACACAGAAATCTGTAGCTTTCCTATACACTAACAACGAATCAATAGAAAGAGAAATCAGGAAAACAATTCCATTCACCATTGCATCAAAAAGAATAAAATACCTAGGAATAAACCTAACCAAGGAAGTGAAAGACTTATACTCTGAAAACTACAAGTCACTCTTAAGAGAAATTAAAGGGGACACTAATAAATGGAAACTCATCCCATGCTCATGGCTAGGAAGAATTAATATCGTCAAAATGGCCATCCTGCCGAAAGCAATATACAAATTTGATGCAATCCCTCTCAAATTACCAGCAACATTCTTCAATGAATTGGAACAAATAATTCAAAAATTCATATGGAAACACCAAAGACCCCGAATAGCCAAAGCAATCCTGAAAAAGAAGAATAAAGTAGGGGGGATCTCACTCCCCAACTTCAAGCTCTACTACAAAGCCATAGTAATCAAGACAATTTGGTACTGGCACAAGAACAGAGCCACAGACCAGTGGAACAGATTAGAGACCCCAGAAATTAACCCAAACATATATGGTCAATTAATATTTGATAAAGGAGCCATGGACATACAATGGCAAAATGACAGTCTCTTCAACAGATGGTGCTGGCAAAACTGGACAGCTACATGTAGGAGAATGAAACTGGACCATTGTCTAACCCCATATACAAAGGTAAACTCAAAATGGATCAAAGACCTGAATGTAAGTCATGAAACCATTAAACTCTTGGAAAAAAACATAGGCAAAAACCTCTTAGACATAAACATGAGTGATCTCTTCTTGAACATATCTCCCCGGGCAAGGAAAACAACAGCAAAAATGAGCAAGTGGGACTACATTAAGCTGAAAAGCTTCTGTACAGCGAAAGACACCATCAATAGAACAAAAAGGAACCCTACAGTATGGGAGAATATATTTGAAAATGACAGATCTGATAAAGGCTTGACGTCCAGAATATATAAAGAGCTCACACGCCTCAACAAACAAAAAACAAATAACCCAATTAAAAAATGGGCAGAGGAACTGAACAGACAGTTCTCCAAAAAAGAAATACAGATGGCCAAGAGACACATGAAAAGATGCTCCACATCGCTAATTATCAGAGAAATGCAAATTAAAACTACAATGAGGTATCACCTCACACCAGTAAGGATAGCTGCCATCCAAAAGACAAACAACAACAAATGTTGGCGAGGCTGTGGAGAAAGGGGAACCCTCCTACACTGCTGGTGGGAATGTAAATTAGTTCAACCATTGTGGAAAGCAGTATGGAGGTGCATCAAAATGCTCAAAACAGACCTACCATTTGACCCAGGAATTCCACTCCTAGGAATTTACCCTAAGAACGCAGCAATCAAGTTTGAGAAAGACAGATGCACTCCTATGTTTATCGCAGCACTATTTACAATAGCCAAGAATTGGAAGCAACCTAAATGTCCATCTGTAGATGAATGGATAAAGAAGATGTGGTACATATACACAATGGAATACTACTCAGCCATAAGAAGTGGAAAAATCCAACCATTTGCAGCAACATGGATGGAGCTGGAGAGTATTATGCTCAGTGAAATAAGCCAAGCGGAGAAAGAGAAATACCAAATGATTTCACTCATCTGAGGAGTATAGGAACAAAGGAAAAACTGAAGGAACAAAACAGCAGCAGAATTACAGAACCCAAAAATGGACTAACAGGTACCAAAGGGAAAGGAACTGGGGAGGATGGGTGGGCAGGGAGGGATAAGGGGGGGGAAGAAGAAGGGGGGTATTAAGATTAGCATGCATGGGGGGGAGGGAGAAAGGGGAGGGTGGGCTGCACAACACAGAGAGGACAAGTAGTGACTCTACAACATTTTGCTAAGCTGATGGACAGTAACCGTAATGTGGTTGTTAGGGGGGACCTGATATAGGGGAGAGCATAGTAAACATAGTATTCTTCAGGTAAGTGTAGATTAAAAATTTAAAAAAAAAAAAAAAAAAAAAAAGAAAGAAAAGGGGGATTACTCCTTAACAGGATAAAACTATTGGTAAATCAAAGATCAACGCATGCTTTAAATATCCTTAATGTTGATCACTTAAAGGGTGTCAGATGATCAGCTATGGAGGTACTCTTTTCTGATAATATTCCTTTCTCTTAATTAAAAAAAAAAAAAAAAAAAGTTACTGTGTGCTGACCTCCAATGAGTTCTGCACAGTGGTATAGAGGGCATGTCAAAGTGTGGGCAAAGGGTCTGTTTGTTTCTACGCAGAAGATCAAGGCCTAGCTTGGATACCCAGAAAATGAACTAAGATACGATATGAGGAGGAGCTTCCGGCATCAGCACTCTCTGGAGGACTCGTGCCGGGGGATGATCATCAAAAAGCCTCCACAGGGATCCGGACGATGCTGCGGTTGTGGCTGCATCCAGCCCACCATCTCCTGGACTTGCCATAAGAAGGAGGAGGGAGATGTCTAGGCTGGCATGTGCATACAGTGAGACAACGAATTTGACTGGATCTGTACTGTTGGAACTCAACCAGGAGTTGGGAGGGGTGCAAGTTGTAGCACCCCAAAATCTCATGACTATAGACTATCTATGGTTAAAAGAACATATGGGATGTGAACAGATCCCAGAAATGGGCTGCTTTAATTTGTCTGATGGTTCAAGTACAGTTGGAAAATATCCATCATATCATAGATAAATTTTCACAAATGCCTAGGGTGCCTAAATGGTTTTCTTGGCTTCACTGGAGATGGCTGGTAATTATAGATTTGCTTTGTTTATGTCACCGTATTCCTATTATGTTAATATGTGTGTGCAAATTAGTTAGTAGTTTAAAACCTATACATACTTAAGGTACTATACAAGAAGATATGTCAAAGAAATAATCAATCCTCCCAAGTTTCCTTCATATGCTACATCTATAGCTTTTCTTCTTCCTTCCTAATTACAAACCTTAAATAGAATTCGTGCCTCATATCGAATTTACCGAGTATCATAATTCCTCCAGGTGGTAAAGATACCTCGAGACAAGTGCTGGGCATAGAAGCCACAGGGCATAAATCTGCAAAGAAGTAAAAAGCTAACCTTTGCAAACAATATGGCTTCTCTCTCACTTACCAACTTTACATTTCCCTGTATGGCCCCGGAAGATGACTGGTTAGCCAGAGACGGGTAAGATTCCTCAAGGGAGGAACAACCTAAGACAGGCACAGTCGCAGGGGGGCCATCAGGTGAGAATTTGGGGATCAACAGAGGTGAGGCTCAGAACCTCACCCCCCCTGCTTTGAGAGAAATCTTCTGCATCCGTGGATGTCTTGCTGCCCTTGTCTAGCCTGGATTAATACTTAGTCCATAGGCACACACCTGATCATCTGATCATCTACATTTGCCTTCTTACAGCACTAAACTATGTTTTCTACCTTTATCTTGCATCTACCTACCACTTCAGCATTTTATTAAAAATAAAAATAATAATAATAATAGGAGAAATGTGGGATCAACATATAAATCAAGTACAAAAATCAAATGAATATTCATATTTGACCTGATGGTTTATAGGTCATATTGCATGATCAAAACCGAAAGTTTCTGTGATGAATGCCCTTGTACTGTTCACCATGTAAGAATTTATTCACTCTGTAAGAATTCGTTCACCATGTAAGAACTTGTTCGTTATGCTTCAGAAGATTGGAGACTGACGAGAATTAGGCTTGAGATGGATTAATGATTGTACATTGAGCGTTGACCCCCCTATACTGAATTTTATTGTTGTTAACAACCATTTGATCAATAAATATGAGAGATGCCCTCTCAAAAAAAAAAAAAATATGGTCTTTTATTACCTTTAATGCATACTCTCTGCCACTTCCCAGATCTTGAGCTTCATATACAAATGCAAACCCTCCTGTAAATTAGAAAGACACACACATCAATTCAGTGCCATGACTTTATTTAATATTAAGCTTTAGACATATCTTTACTAACTAAAATACAAACAGGGCTTGTGGCTAACAATTTGTTTTCCACAAAAATAACAGCCCAATTTATATAGTACCATCTTTTAAATCTCCAGCTTCAGAGGCAGGAAGGAAATAAACAGGAACAGAGATTAATGAGGGAAAAAATGGAAAAAAAACAACAAAACCAAAGCCAGCTCTCAGGAGACAAATAAATGAAATTTATAAATTCCTGATAGATTGATAAGAGAATGAGAAGGAAAGCAAGAGACAGACTGATACAGGACAAATGACCAATGTCTGCAATAAAAAGGGGACAGCACTGCCCTAATACCCAGAAGAGAAAAGGACATTAAACATGCAGACTTATATCACATGTGAACATGAACAGAAGAATTCTTAGCACATTCTTAATTTCCAATAAAATAAAATGTTAGCAAATCAAACCCAACAATATATAAAAAAGGGTAATACATCACAAGTAGGTCTAGCTGGTTTAACATTTGAAAATTGTTGAACTGTTTTACGTTTAATTTGCTTAGCTTTCTCTAGATTCCTACAGTGCAAAATAACATCATGAAATTAAAAACTCTCAGCATGTGGGGAACAGTAGGAAATTTGCTCAATCTGAGGAAAAGCATCTATGAAAGACCCACACCAATAGCCTACTCGGCCGTGGAAGACCCACCATCTCCCCTAAGGTCGGGAACACGGTGAAGATGTTTGCTCTTACCCCTGCTCTTCAGTGTTGTACTGGAGGTCTCAGCCAGTGCAATCAGGCAAGAAAAAGAAATAAAAGGCATCCAGATTGAATAGGAAAATGTAAAGAGGTGTTCTTCTCTCCAGACAACAAAGTGTCTCTGTAGACAATCTTGTGAAACCTATCTCAAAAAAGCTGCTATCACTGATTGATGAGTTTAAGAAAGTCATGGGATATTAGATCAACAGAAGAAATCAACTGTGTTTCTACATACCCTGCATGAGGCAGAATTCTTAGAGAAAAGAATCAAAGTATGACCTATAAGCAAAAAAAAAACAAATGGACTTCACCAAACTAAAGGACTTCTGGGTTTTGAGGATGAAAGTCAAGCCACTAATAGGATCTTGCAAATCACAGCCCTGATAAAGGATTTGTCCAAAAATGTTTAAAGAGCACTCAAAATTCAGTAACAACAACAAAATTTTAATGGGTAAAATACATGAAGACACTTCACCAAACATAGGTGGCAAATGAACACATGAAAATATGTTCAACATTATTGTCCATTAGGGAGATGCAACTCAAATCACAAGGCCACTGCCACATATCTAATCAGAAAATCAAAAAATCCTAGACTGACCACACCAAGTGCTGATCAGGACATAGGTCAAGTGATGTTCACGCACTGCCTGTGGGAGTTTAAGATGCTAGCTACAGCCACTTTGGAAAATAGTTTGGCAACTTCTTAGAAAGTTAAACATAGGCCCACTCTATGGCCCTGACATTACACTGCTAGAAAACAAAGGCACACACCCATACAAGGGCTAGTACAAAAACGTTCAGAGCAGCTTCATTTGCCCACACTGGGAAGGACCACACATCCATCGATGGTGAATGGGTGAGCTGGCCGCCCCCAGTGAAACCACTGTCACAACACACAGCATGTGAATGACTCTTGACAACAGTGCTGAGGGGAAGAGCTAGGGCAAGAGGTAGGTATGTGTGACTTCACTTGCAAGAGACCTGAGAAAACACAAGCTGGTCTATATTAATAGGGAGCAAATGAGAGACTGCCAGGGGTGAAGGGCAGGGGAAGGGAAGGGTTTTAAGAGGCAGGAGGGAAATTTTGGAGCTGATGGGAATATTCACTAACTTGCTTATAGTGATAGTCACACAGCTGTATATAAACTGCACACATTTAAAGTGTTCTGACATACATATGAGCAGTTTATGCATCTCACTTTTATCTCAACACAGTTAAGACATTAAAATAATAAATCCATATGGAAATAAATGAAAACCTGTGAAATACAGAAACAGATTTATTAGTGAATTCTATCAAGTATTTGAGGAAAAAAGCAAAACATTCTTGTACAAAATCTTTCCAAAGATAGAGGAGGGGAAAACAATTCCCAGCCCATTTTTTGAGGCCAGAGAACATATTATAGACACAATTACAGATCAAAATCACTCATTAACATAGATAAAAAAAGCCCTCAAAGAAAATCCAGTAAAGTGATTCTGGCAATACATAATAAAGATAACACATTATGGTCAATAGGATTTACCCTAGGAATGCAAAGTTGGTTCAACATTTTTTGTTTAAATCATTGTAGTACAGGACATTAACAGAAGAGGGAAAGTGATCACCTTATTAGACACAGAGACCATCTGTTAACATGTAAATCCCATTCACTTCTGTTTTTAAAAAGTAAAATACAATAGTTCTCAACAAAGCAAAAATCAAAGGGAACTTCTTCAACCTGAGAAACGGCAACTGTGAGAAGCCCACAGCTAACATGAGGCCTAACAGTGCCTGCACTCAGCTCTGTAGCACAACAGTGTGATACAACATTGATAAGTGCAGGGAGGCTAGGAAAGAAGCAAAGAGTATAAAGATCAGAAAGGAGGAGCTAAAACTGTTTTTACCCACACAAGCACTGTGCAGGACTCTCCCAAAACTTCCAGCACCATGGAGCAACCCAGCATGCCTACAAGGTCCTCCTGCCTGCCCCCTGGCCTCTGGACAGCACCTTCTCCTCTAACACCAAGCCTGTTACCATCCAGAGCCTTCCCACTCCTCACAGCCCCAGATGTCCAGGACGTCCTTGCCCTGCACACTGCCCCAGCTCACCTGCTCCTGTTGCTGGGGCTCTGCATCCTGTCCCTTCTGAGGGGGCCTTCCTCAACTCACTCCCATCCCAGCCACTCCCCATCCCCAGCTCTGTTCTTCTTCCCCACATTTTCTGCATTAGACCCCACGTTATGTACTCATCTGGACACCAGTTCACAGCCTCTCACTGGGCTCTGCGCTCAGGGAGGCAGTGGCACCTGCCACACTGTGGGCAGTCACAAATTGCACCAAGCCAAGGGGCAGATCACAAGAACAAAATCCTATGTGAAAAGCAGTGCTCGCGTAGAATGCAGAATGCCCAAAAGCAGTTACACAGTTTATGGACATGTGTGGAGAGATGGCAGGAGTCCATGAGCTAAATTTGTGGTGGTGGCTGCCTCTGATGAGGGGAGGAAAAGGCAACCAGGGAGTTGACAGTCAATGGAGCCTTTAGTGACGTGATGTTTTTAAATTTTTAAGAAAGATCTGGACCAAATATGATGTTTAAAAAGCTAACATTTATTAATACTGGATAGCAGGCTGACAGGTATTTGTTCTGGCAGTCTTTCTACTTTCATGCATTTCTGAAATTTTCCCTAACTAAAAAAGAAAATACCCAATTTCAGGACTGGTTATGTAGCTACAGTACTCCAGACTGAGTGGTGCTGGTGGAGACGCAGATTCACAGAACAATGGAACAACACGGCAAAGTCCCAGAACTTGGGACACACAACATGCCAAGGGATTTTTGACGATAATGTCAAGCAATCCAGTGGAAGAAGGGCGGGGCACCCCCAAGGCCACAAAACAAACTCTGGCCTCAACATGACAGCTAACGCAGAGGGTACCAATGTGAACTATGGAACCTGTGGGAGAAATACCCTTGCCACCCACAGCGAGGCAGGGAGGCCCCAGACTTGACAGCAAAAGGATGAGGTGACAAAGTTGACTTCATCAAAATTAAACACGTTGTGTGTCAAAAAGACCCTGATGAGAAGCCGAAAAGCTGCAGACTGACAGAAAATGCTTGTAAACTACATATCTGATAGAGAACTCATACCAAGCATATATAAAGAGCTCTCAAAACTCAATAACAAAACTACAATTAGAAAACGGGCAGACGATGTGAAGAGACTGTTCATCTATGAGGACGCACAGCTGGAAATGAGCATACAGCCTTCAGAGAAATGCAAATTAAAGCTACAATGAGATATCACTACACACCCATCATGACAATGAAATAAAAACACAGTGCACAATGCTGGTGAGGACAACAGTACCTGAACACACCTCGGTCCCCCCAAACTCCACACAAAGCTCTGACTCACAATGTGACTATCTGGAGACAGGGAGCTTTGGGAGGTGATTAAAGTTACCAGGTCATAAGGGTGCGACCCTGGTCCTGTGGTACAATAGGACTGGTATCCTTACGAGGAGAGACAAAAGAACAGCTCTCCCCACATGCACACAGAGAGGGAGCCACCTGCCAGCCGATGGGTGAGGCCTCATCAGGAACAGCCCTGCCTGCACCTTCAGCTTGGACTTTGAGCCTCCAGAACTGAGAAAATAAATTTGATTCTCCCACCCAGTCTAAGGTATGTTGTTACGGCAGCCCAGCCAGACTAAGACACTCATCGATTGCTGGTGGGAGTGTAAAAATGCACGCCCACTTTAGAAAACAGGTAGGCAATTTTCCAAAAAAAAGAAACATGCAACTACCTTATGACCAGCATGCACTCCTGGGCATCTGTCCCAGAAAAATAAAGGCCTGCACACCAATGTTCACAACAGCTCTATTTCTAATAGCTGGAAACACTGGAAACAACCCACGACCTTTAGCAGGTGAATGAATGCTTAAATAATCTATGGTATATCCATGTCATGGAATACTCTTCAGCAACAGACAAATTATGGACACAACGACCTGGATGGATTTCCAAACATTCACGCTATGTGAAAAAAGCCAATTCCAAAAGGCTCATAATATATGATTCCGTTTACATAACAATCATCTTCTAATGACACAACCACAGAGTTCTGTGGTTTCCAGGGTACAAGGAAGTGGAGGTGGCTGCAGAAGGACACACAGGATCCTTCTGGGTGGAAACTCTTGTCTTGATTGCATCAATGTCAAGATACTGGTTGTGACATTAACTCTAGTTTTTCAGGATGTCACCCCTGGGGGAAATGGGTAAAGTGTGCCAGGATCTTTCTGCATCATTTCTGGCAACTGAATGAATGTAAATCTACAAGTACCTCAAAGTTAAAAGCTTAAATAAAAACAACAACACTAACATGTAACACTTACCAAGGAATGAATGTCAGGCACTGCTAAGACACTGCCATCCACTGTCATTTCAAAATTTGCGTTCTGTAATTAGGAATGGGCAGACACCTCGATTGCCCAGGCCGAGCCCCTGCCCCCCCAGGCAGCCTGGCCGGGGATGGCAGGGGGCCCACGTGCAGCTTTCTTCCTCGTCCTCACAGACACACACACAAGCGTTACATAGAAACAGGACTTACAGCCAGAACAATAAGAAACTCCCAAAACTCCTGTGCAATAAATTATGGAAAAAAGACCTGGACATTTCACAAAGACATACAATCTGGCCGATAAGCAGGTGAAAGAGTGTTGAACATAGCATCAAGGAAAGACGAACTCAACCACAGATAGACACTACTGAGTGCACACAAGAACACACATACAGCTGACCCATGAATATCATTGCTATTTCATACTGGTGTTAGTCACTGGGTGAGGGGCTGACCTGTAGGTGAAGAAGGTAGGCAGGAAAAGCTGAGAGGGCAATCACCAGGCACAGGCACAGACTGTGCAGGTGACTAGAACTAGCTGCCCAAGGCCCTGGTGCTGTGCGCTGGGGTGTCTACAGAAGAGAGGACATCCACTCAGCACCCCTCCCTGGGAGAGAGCAGCGCTGCACTTAGGCCTCTGGGTGCCGGAGCAGGTGCAAAGCAATAGACCATAAAACCGTGAGGGTCAAGAAGCACTCAGAAAGCACAAGACCACCAGGCTCAGGGCTCAGGGCTGTCATGCTTCCTAGATGGAAAGAGGGGTGTACTTTGTTAGTGTGCTATGACCCATCTTTTAAAATCAACCTAAAATGTGCTACGTTGTGGATCTGTGTAGAGGATGTCCTGAGATCACACCAACCTGGAGGTTTCCGGAACCTCCAGCAAAGAATTGTGACAACCGCACAATTCGAGACTGCCAGTCAACACCAAAGTCTGGGCATCCTCACCAAACCCAACATTCTGCAGAGGAAGGAGGAGCCCTCCAAAAGCAGAAGGGCAGAGGGCTAGAACTGCAAACAGGCAGCCAGGGATTCGTGGGGGGTATGCCCATGGGCTCTCGGGCCTGTGCTGACCACAGAGAGAAAACAAATTCTTCACCAGGAACCACATCAGGTTAATCAAAGGCACTGATAGGAAGCAAGGCACTCAAGCGTTCCAGCAAGTAGGTGCTGACTGACTGAAATTACATGTGATCTCTAACCAAACACACGTGCCTGATTACACTCAAATCACAAGCTGTGCGTCGTTGTTTCCGGTTTCTGAAGACCTGGCCATACACCACCTGGTCAGCAGGGAGCACGTGCTGGACAGTGGACTCGCTCTGCATGCAGAAACACTGTTCTTGGCAGTAGCGATGCACCTCAGTTACCCTTTCTGGCAGCAGGAAGCAAGAGCACATAGAATCCCAAACAAGAGAACACAAAACATGCATTCAAGAATCCACTGGGATGGACATCTCTGACTGTGCAGGTACTCCCAGTAATTTGCTTAAAAAGAAAAGAAAGAAAACTTAGAACAAATGTTGCAAAGATTAGAGAGCTATCTGGCTCCAGTTCTGCCCCACAACTCATTTTATGCTACAGGAACAAACCCCAAAAAGGTAGGAAAATTGATGTGTTTTCCTTAAGTCATTTGACACCAAAACCTAATCTAGCATAAATTCATCTGGGGTGACACCTGACATGAACTGATATGCAGCTATTTAAAGAATTATCCCACAGCGAGGACACTTACTCATTTAATTATAGATATATTAATGTATTTGATCACAAGTACTTCCCCAACCCCTATGGGAGTATTCCAGGACATACAGAATACACAGTCTCTTTCAAAAACTAGGAATTCTGAAACTGTTTGGGGTCTGTGGTCTTCCCCATATTCACACAAGACTGCTTGAATTCCCACAGCTTATGTTCTGAAGGTGCTGTTTTATGTGACAGACTTCATGCAGGTTTCTCACCACTTCAGTTTAGAAAGAGGCTTCAACAGCTGAGAGCTGTGTATTGAGCTCAAGTGGAGGGAATCTTGGCTGCACTACTCGCCGGCACCTCCTGCCTGCCCAGAGAGCCAAAGGGAACAGGTTCTTCCACACAACCACAGCAGCTGGTCACACTTCCTGTCCCTCATCCTTGGTGTTAAGTGACAGGCATGAGCTTCCTTGTTTAGGCGAATCGTCTCCCATCTGTGATTACCCCTCCTGGCCCTTGGCCCTGCACTGGACTGCCCTATCATTGGAATGTGTCTAATTTTAAGTTCCACAAGGCAGAAGCCACCTGATGTCCACTGTGAATTTCTTTCAGAACCAAGACAATCATCTGGTATTTTCAGGAAAAATAAACTGAACTGGGGGAGCTCTTGTTCTAAAGAAAGTGAGAGAACTCCATACTTGGAATGTTAGTAGAGGTACTGACCCCTCTGTGAAAGAGCCTGCGTCTCCTCTCCAAATCATACCCAAAATCTTTTTTTACCATAGTGGAGAAAAAGTGTGTGATATAGCTGCAGCCAGAACATCCCCCTCGAGCCCTTAGGAAAAGGACATCAGAAGGGTCAGCAGGTTTCCCACCTCAAATTGAGCACAAATGGCAGCAGCCGCGGCCACCGTGACAGGCTGAACCTGCAGCAGAGAGCTTTGGTCCTTCCAGCAGCGCCTCTCCCGCGCCTGCACTCATCTGGGAGAACAGTCGTTTCAGAACCAGCCACAAAGCTTCACCACTAGCGAAATGTGACGTACCCCTGTGGGCACCACAGAAAAAATGTAAGGAAAAGACAGAGGAGAGAATGGACTGTCACCGATGTTGGTGATGAAATCTGTGTGAGGAAGAGAGAGGACATTCCCGAAGCTAGAAACGGCATGCAGAAGCGAAGCTGACGAAGGACTGACCTGGAAATTCCTCCACGGCTGACCAGACCAACCTGCAAGGTCGCTACAGGTCGTAACTGTTAGCTCCACTTGCCGCAGTTTACGCGGACTCGCAAACAGGTCAGAAGAACGCTCAGGGGGTAAGAGGACAGCACCGAGGGACGGGGCTCGCCGTCTGTCCGCCACAACACCCACGGGGGGTAGGCCCGCCAGCACCCTCACCGAGGTGCACGATCACCCACGCCCAAGTTCCTGAGCACTGGGCGGCGCCGGCCCCACGTCCAGAGGTCCAGGGCTGCCCCCGACCCTACCACGGTCCTAGATGTGAAGGAACAGCCGACCGACACCCGCCCGGCAGCTCTGCTCGCCTTCAGGCCCCCACCTTCGGCCTTCCGCGTCCCCTTCCCTCCGCCTGCCCCGCGGGCCCTCACCCAAGCCCCCCCTCCCACCACCACCACCACCACCACCTCCTTCCACCTGCCGTAGCCTCCCACGCTGCCGCAACGACCGCCACGCCTCCGGCAAGGAAGTGCCGGCCCCAGACCTGGCCTCGCCCTCGGTGGTCACCTCCGGGCCCGCCGCCTGACCGCTCCCCGGGCGGTGACCCTCCCCGCGGACGGACGGCCTCCGCCCGGCCCGACCCCGCGCCGACCCCGCGCTCCGCTCCCGGACCTCACCCTCGGCCAGGACCCGCCGCACCCGCAGCCTCAGCTCGCCCAGCTCCACCGTCTGCCCCACGAAGTCAGTCTGGTCGCGGCCGGCAGCACCGCCCAGGGAGCCCGGGCCTGCCAGGAAGTCGAGCGCAGACTGCAGCAGCGACATGGCGGCCGCGGCGGGCGCGGGCGCGGGGTCCAGTGGTGCCCGGGCCTCGCGACCGCCAGCCCCGGGGCCCCACCGCCTTCCACCCGGCGCCGTTACGTAGGCTCGCGAGGCCCGCCGCGGACCGGAAGAGCGCCGGCGCCTCACTTCCGCCGCGCCGGGAGGGGCGCGTGCGCAGAGGCCCGGCCGCGAGACGGACTTCCGGCCGTCGATCTCGCTGCACCGGCGGAGCCGGGCGCGGACAGGCGGACGAGACGCGGGGGCGGCGGCGGCGGCGGCGGCGCCCAGGTAGTTGGCTCCGGCCGCGCCCCTAGCTGTGCCCGTTCGGGCGTCTCTGCGGCTGTAGCCGCGGTTCCGTGGCGCAGCCAGCTCGCGCCGTGAGGG